TTAACTGAAAGCTTCTAATAAAGGTTTCCGATGAAACTGACAGCAAATTGAGAAAAACCTTTGACACAGTAATATCATCTAAGTCAAAGTCATTTTTCAATTTAGTGAAGCCCCTTGATACTATTCCCTTTTTTGCAATGAGGAATTCGTAAAATTGTTTACTTTTACATAGCACAGGATCAAACGCTTTTTCCCCGCCGGTCTATGGTTACTTAGTAATTTTCCGATCCCTGCTGAGGCGAGGATTAACACAAACTGTCTGTGCGTATTATGTGATATGTGTTAACCCATCGAATAAAAGATTTATAAATTCACTTCAACATTTTATATAGATTCACTATTATTTCATTTTTTAATGATCATTGGTGTTTTCAGTTTTGCAATGCTTCCACCGCATTATCTAAGAGTCGTTTAGATAACACGGTTAAGTAAGGTGGCTCTGAACTGTGTTAACCATGAAGATTTCTCGTGTTGTAATTCAGTGATTTGAAACCATTCAGGTCGCTGAGCTCATTTTTGTGTTACAGGTGCTCAAAGGGGTTTGATAGGGTTATTTTAAGAGGCTGTAATGTTTCTAGGGTAACCTTTAGTGGGTTATCAACAAGTGGAACGTTTTGCAAGATTCCTCCTCCCTGGAGATTCCTACACTTTGGCTAACTGATTTAACAATCTCCGTGGCTGACCCAGCCCTCCACAAACAAACAGGAAGTAGATGTCACACTTCTGGTTCTGTTCATATAATACAGTTTTCTTTATCGGTAACAGAATGTTGAAAAAGTCATGGTTTAGAGCGGGGGTAAGCCTGAAATTCGCTCGAAAATTCGGTTTCTGTTTTGCTTGATATTTGTTACTCTTGGTTTTTCACTTAACCATGGAGAAATAAATTTATCGATTGCCCTTTGTTATGATTTATGAGAAATTTTGAAATTTCCACTCTTGTTAAATGACGTGGTTACTATTGCAAAGACGAAAACTTTTTTTTTGATCAGTTTAACCTTTTATTATGGCATTCAGTCGCCCAACAGGCAGGATTGAACCCGGCATACTTTATGTAGTGTTATTTAATGTAGTTTACGGACTAACATTATGGGATGGATTGCGAGGTTATTGTGCAGTGTTCGCAGAGCTTCGAAACGTGTTTAGATCATAAAGAAATTGTCGAAAATGGTTGGAGACAGAGCTAGATCCGTTTACAGTACGTATAGGAAGGGCCCTACCTAGTGTTTTCTAAAAATAAAAAAATTGTCATAAACTGTCATCTACAGGAATACTAATTTTTTTTAATTTTGCGGAAGGACTGACGCTTTCCAGTTCAGACTTCAAATCCCTTTCAAAGGATACTAATAAAGTCCAAATCCGCTACTATGGCGCTGAAGTTCCATGAGTTTATTTTCCATTCGCTCCATTATCCCATCGACTAATTTCCTATAGTTTGGCAAAAGGATTTCATGGCGCTTTGAGTGACTATTAAGTTCCTGGCGGCTTAGATTACCTGCATTTTTGATGCATTCCTCTTGCAACCTCTCCAGATTGTATGACTGTGCAGTAACAAGAAGATCTAAGCACTGAGATGAGTGTTGCTGGCGTGGCCAACGTAACTTATGAATTAGGAAGTCTTCGCATTTCTCGGTGAGCTTCTCTATCATATATTCCCTTGCAAGATCCAACAGGAACGAGTAGTTCTCGTCATCGATCTCTTTGGCGGACGTTGGATAAATTGCCAGCAACATTTCTCTTATTTGGCTCGCTATCTTCCCCGGAAGTGGCACTTCTTCAGCTGTTTTTTCCCTGAAGCCTGAGGTAAACATTTTCGAAAAAGTTGGCGACCACATCGACAAGATACTTCGGTGAACATGAAATCTTTCCTCTTCCACCTTCAAAACTACATCGCTGAAATGCCATGGTTGTGAAAAGTCAAGCTGATTGTTTGTTAAATCTTCTTTTCCCTCTTCTTCTTCCGTTTTCCGAGGGGAGAGCATCATTTGTTGCCGAGAATCCGTCTGTTGTTTACAGCATGCACCGTGCTTTCAATTACTTCCGTGATTTCTCGAAACCAGTCACGTCACGACTCGCGCACGCGCAGTAAGAATGTAATGAAGGGGCTTTGAAGGATTGCGTGAGCATGGTATGGAGTTTTGGTTTGTCTGCTTTATTTTTGTTTGTTTGTTTGTTTGTTTGTTTTTATTAACTAAAACCACAAGAATCAAAACAAGAGCATTAATCTCAATTTGCACAACCATCGATATTAAGGCAGTGCAAAAATAAACGACTGAAAACGCCATCACTAAGATCCCAGGGTCGGAAAAAGTCGATCAGATTTTGGGGCAATCTTGACCGCCATATATATCTAGCCATTCTTAAAGCAAGTTGGAGATACCTTACACCGGAGACGTTTACGACTCTTTAAACAGAACGCGCTAATAAGACGGTAGCGGGTTTTTGGAGTAGACTGTCAACGCTTCCAAAATTTCTCGGAAGTAACAGGAAAATCGTTGTCAATGACACGAAGTACCGCAACATAACATTTCACAGGGTTCCACTACCTCAATAGGATGACTGAAGTTTCCGAACAATAAAATATTTTCCGATGATCAGGCGAAAAAAAAAGACGTGACTTAAATGAAAACATGGCAGCCTGTTTTATTCTTTGTGCCTGGCAAAGGAAGTTGCTCATAGGGGAGGGACGGAGAGGTACTTTTATCTCCTCTTGATCAAGAAAAAAATATATATGAATAAATGAAAAAAACCTGTTATCCTCACAAGTACTGGAGAGACACTCCTCCCTTCCACCTGTCTACCCTCCTCAGTTTTCTAGCCTGCGGCGCGAGCTCTCGGGATAAATAATGACTCCAAAAATAAGTGGTTGGCATGACTCACATGGTTGGATAAACAACATGTAAAATGATCTTTTTCGCAAGAATAAAATGAAAAATTTTATTTTTATGGATCTTTTTGAAAAATAAACCCAGACCGCTGGTTCGATTTTTTACAAGCCTTAAGCTTTATTAGGCCTTTTGGTTTCTATTCACGTATATTAATAATATGGCTAGGTCATTCGATGTTGGGAACTGATCATGAAAAAAAAGTAAACTCTGATTGCGCGCTTCAGAAACGGTGAAAAAACTTTATTCGAATGAAACAAAGTCGCAAATTTTCCATGCAAGGATTTAAAATTCATCATGATGTAGTGATGATGATAATCGATTGATTGGAACTTTTGAAGATAATAAAGTGAAATTTTCAAATCAAGTCAAAGGAATTGAGATAGATTATGAAAAATATAACTCGCTTTCAACTACAGTAGCTCGCCCTTCTGATATAGACTTTTGGCTTTGGAATGAGAGTCTTGTCTGGTATTCTAATAACTTGTTATTGCGGCCGACTCGGAGGAAAAAACTGAGATCAGAGGCCGATTTTTGGTAAAAATTTGTTTTACACGCGCAACCAGTGTGGCTTTTCGATATTTACCGAGACGACAATTAATTACCCATTTTTACAGTGCTTGACACAGGTAAAAATGTTAAAACAGTAGCTTACCTTTCAGGTGATGTTGCATGCAGGTTGACTATTTTTACGCTGAAAATATCGCCTCTTTCTTAGTGATAACCTTGTGTTATGCTAATAGCTCCTTTTAATCCTCCTGTGGAACAAAAGGCGTTATCAAAAACAGGTTTTGGCCATATTTATTTTACATTAATGACAAGTGTACGTGAGTTGAATAGAATATAGACGATTTTTAGGCGACTTCATATTGCTTATCTGCTTTACTAAAATATCGATTGTGTTGATAACGACATTTATATGTAAAATAAAACGATGAGGATTGTTGTAATAATCCGTGATTCAGTTGCCATTAAAAAAATTGGATTTTTTTTTTGCCTTAAAACAGCTCGGAAAACTGAGGTCTTCAAAGCATTGAAAACGTACTCACGATCCAGCTTACGATAGTTTGAAGATGGCCTGATAGTATTTAACAGATATGTCACTATCTGTGTTTTCGATATAGCGCTACTGTTTCACAGACTGTCTAAGCACCACATTATTATGCCTAAATTGTGTGATGTCTCACAATAGGATCCAATTAAGTTTTGACTTCGATTTTCCCCTTGCCAGTAAATAATCCGTCGATGGTGGAAACGTCGAGCTTGATGTCTTGCTGTTAAAAAAAAAAAAAAAAAGATTGGTAATTCCTTTGTGTGTGTGTTATTCGGGATTACAGTGATTTTGAGTGAACCTTGATGCCTGTTCGTCAGTAATTCATTTGCCAAAATGAGGGGGTTCTTTCTACAACCATATTACAAGTAAGCAAAATTTTATCTTTTCCCTTCCACTTTGAATCGTGAAGGGCATACTTCAACTCTATTGATCTGAAGATGGCTGTTATCATCCATATTTTACAGGAAAAAAAGCCAGACCCGGACAGGTGTTAAGGACGTTCCGGATGGAGCTTTGCCCACCTTTTGTTCATAGGATATATAGTAGTTTGTGTTAATTTTGCTTTGGGCGGTAATCAGGAAAGGCGCACACCGCCACAGGGAGAAAAATTTTCGCAATTATCTCTCAACTGAGTTTTCTTCCTTATTTTTCATTAACACTGACCCAAACCTGTTTCGCGCGCTTAAAAAAAGGAAATTGATTCAATATTTGCTCCTCTTTAAAATTAAACCAGAGAACAACTTAAATTTGAACAAGGCTAATTGGTTAGACTTTGAAACTATTAAAACCGCACACCCAAACAAACATGCGTACAGGCCCAACTTAATGGAAGGAGCCCAAGAACTAGGAGTTTGGGTAGTTGCCTAGTTCCCAGTCTCATTCACCAATGTAAAGGTTTAATATGCAGCTGCCAGAATCATTTTTTGAGGTCTCAAACGCCAATTGTGTTAAGTTCTGTGTAAACGTCAACGTGGCTCGACCAGTGCACGAACGAACGGAGGAGAATGAACTCGGTGAAATTTGAGCATAAATCTACGATGGGGATGACTACCAAGCCAGCCTTGAAATTTCTGGGTTCGACTAGCTCGGAATCAACCAGCGGCAATTAACACAAAGAAAATTTTTATTTCGATAGCGATTTTCAGCACGTTCCGAAATCAGTTGTGTCATCCGTCCTCCTATGATCTCAGGG